ATCGCGCGCGCCGACCGGCCGACGAGAAGGAAACGACACTTCCGAAGCACATGGCTGGCCGACCGAGATCCTTTCAGCCGTCGAAGAAGTCAGCTGCTGCGAGCACTGGAGAACAGAGAACTACAAAGCATGCGAAATCGAAATCACGGCGCAAGGCAATAGGCAGAGCAGAAAAGTTAAGCCCGAACGAGCCAGAACAGGAGGATTTTGTACCGCGGCGGATATGAGGAACACTGCGAGCGGCACTCTGCTATAGCATAGCCGCAATCATTAGCATGATTACCCATGGTCATTATACTTACCTTCATGTCCGTCAAGCAGTATACATCGTATTGCTTGTTCGTTGCGTTTAGCATTTCCGCCACATGTGCGGTCTGATCAGCGCATCGATGGAACATTGTGTGGGCGAGTATTCCTGGTGGGCACCGCGTCAAGCGACACATATGTCAATCCAGCGCATTCAGCGCAGCGAGAAAATGAATTTTCAGGCGCGTGAACAAATGTGGAGCAAATTTGATAAGTTCATAACTGAACTACAGGAAAACTCAGTGTATTTACTTTTTGCGCCACCCGTGCATCTGGAGGAATAATAACGCGGCAGGTGCAAAAGTGAGGAAAGACACGCGTGTAGTGAGATCCCAACGTAAAACGCATACTAGAAAACAACAATGATGATAATATGTTGATACAGCAGCGAAGACATGATGATGACATCCGACCGATATTCGAAAGTGTCGCACTATGTTGGGCAGCAGCGAACAGGTAATGGTCACGCAGTTGCTCTCCGGTCGACAATGACCTGCCGATGACATCTGACTGGCGTTCAAAAGTATTGCAAACTGCTGAGTGACAGAGAGCAGGCAATGGTCACGGAGTTATTCTCCAGTCGTCAAAGACTTGCCGATGACATCTGCTTGGTGGTCAAAGGTATTGCAAGTTGTTGAATGACAGAGAGCAGGTAATGGTCACGCGATTACTATCCGATGTGCGTGGGCGCGCCGACGACATCTGAATGAAGCACGGAAGCTTCATGTGAGCTTCGCGGTATAAGTCAAACACCAATCATAAACAACACATATGTAACATCGGATCGATGTTTAGTTTGATCTGTATGTCCCCAACATACGAGTAAGGAGGAGCATTTGGAAAGAAATGCCTCACATCGCTTCCCTCTCCCCCCTCTGGAGCGCCTGGGGCGTTCCGGAGGTGTCGAGGTGCCTTTACGGTCTCCGGAAGCCTCGACGAGCCTTCAGGAGCCTCAGGTGGGTGTCCAGGAAAGGCCTCTGGGGGCCTCCACAAACAGATTTGTTTTGGGAGGGCTCCCTGGGAACCTCCGCATAGATTTGTGCGGGAGGCGGCCCTCGGAGCCTCCACCAGTAGATTTAGTAGATTTTTTCTAGGAGGCCCTTTGAAGCCTCCAGACACACGGATTACTTCTACGAGGACACGGAGGGCCCCCAATTCCAAGGAGAACGGATTCCAACTCAGAAAAATCAATGATTACGAGATAAACTCAATCCCGGTTTTGTTTTTAAAGGGTCTGGCGCACCTCGAGGCCCGAAAACTTTGAAAAACAGATGTGCAATCACGAAGTCCATTTTGCATGCTTTTTACATGGTTTCATGGCCTCGAGAGTTCCAAACCCTGTAAAGTCGGGATCGCCGATATCTTGAAATCATTGTTTTCTTGGGGGGGTGACTTTTTCCCCCTGGGATTGGAACCCTTCCGTGCCACCATAGAAGAAATCAATGCGTGGAGGCTCCTAGGGGCCCCTTCCCAGAAAAGAAATCTATGTGTGGAGGCTCCCGGGGCCGTCTCCCACAGAAGAAATCTATGCATGGAGGCTCCCAGGGACTCTCCCGGAAAAAAATCTAATTTTGGAGGCCCCCAGAGGCCTCCCCTGGACATTCCTGGAGACCTTATTCCCGCTCCATCCCCCCTCACAATTAAAATCAAATAGTAACGCCTGCCACACATAATCAAGCAGTACAGCTCCCCTATATAGAATCGAACCGCAGGGCCCCCCCGCCCCCTCCCTTCCCGAGTGATCAGGGGGCGGGGGAGGAGGGAGGCACCCACCGAATGATCAGGGGGCGAGGGGCTCTGAGATCAGGCGCTCACATTTCGTTGTGCTTCATATTAGAATCTGATGTAGTCGAATGAGCCAATTATGGCATAACACGCCATAGCATAACATATCATACCATAGCAACGTGTGACAAAACAGAACATAGCCAACCACAACATCACATAACATATGGCAGTTTGTAATATTGCGCATCATACTGTGACGAAGCAGGGCATCACCGAGGATCTGATTGTATACTATAACATAACACGTGTGCGTGCTACACCACTGCTACCACTACAGCCACGAACGTATTACACTATAGCGGAAGCTAACACAATTGACCCGGCTTCTTAGCATGACATAGCACAACAAAGTACACCGGACAGCGTATGACTCAACACAGCACAAGGCAGCACACAATACATTAACATACAATAGCATGATTGAGCCTCGCGCAACATCACACAGCATCGCATAACAGCACACAATGAAATATCACGTCGTACAGTGGCAGGGCGGGGTAGAGCAGCGTATCACATTACAGAACCTATCACAACATAAGATAAGTGTTCTACGACTTCTGCCGCTACGACAACGAGTCTACTACAGCATGCGATGAGCCAGAACAAAACATGAAAAATAATACACTTAAATCGCAGAGCATACCATAATCTAAGACAGCTAAAACGATCGCACACCATACAGCAACACAGGACAAACAGTAATATACACATGCAGTGCGTAATCGCTTTACGTCCAAATCGGAGACGGATACATGTGACGGTCACATATAGTAGCAAGTGGTGACACGCACTTACAAACACGGAGCACTACATGCAGTATATTGTAATACTTTGTGCTATCAAGTGGGAGTGTGAACAGAGCATAATCGGAGCGCCATATCATAATGCGAGTGCAGCACCACACCAAACTAATAGACAACCTGCGTGCAACTAGGACTGCAATGTTATAGTGTCGTAGATGGTTATGCTTATACTAGAGCAGGTTCTACTATATCCGAACACTAACGAACATTTCGAAGACGCCTACGGCGAATCACCGCCGCCCCCTGCCTTTTGGAATCGCCTCTGTGGCCGAGCGTTGTGGCAAGAGCTCTGCCAAGCCACAGGACCATGTGTTCCCCCCAGCCGTTGTGGACACCCTTCGGGGCACATTTGGGGGAGGATGGCGGGGAAGATCAGGAGGAGAACGAGGATGAGGAGGATGGGGGCATCTTGGGAGCTTCTGGGGGCACTGTTGGGGCCTCCTGGGAGCTTCCTAGGGGCCTCTTGGAGGCATCTTGAGGGCCTCCTTGGGCCTCTTGGGGACCTTTCGGAATTTCTCGGGGGCCTCTTTGCCCGTCTTGTGGCGTTCGTGGCCTCTCCGACGCCGTCGGAAGGAAGCAGTTTGAGGGGCCTCTCTGGGCCGACTTGGGGCCCTCATGGGATGCTCAAGGGCCGTCATGGAGGCTATCTTGGGCGTCTTGGAGGTTTGTTGGGGCATCTGGGGGCCCCCTTGGGGCCATTTTGGGGGCCTCTTGGGCCGTTCTGGGGTTACTTTGGAGGCTTCTTGGGCGATCTTGGGGCGATCTTCGGGGGTTCTTGGGCCGTCTCGGGCCGTCGGAAGGCCGAGAAAGAAGAAATGCTAAAACCCTTTTAAAACCGAAGGAACATCGATTATTTGGGTATCTTCCTGCCTTTTTGGAGGCCCGATTGGGGGCCCCTTTGGCCGTCTTAGAGGCCTCTTGGGGTCCTCTTGCGCACCTTTTGGTCTGTCGTAGGCCATCTTGGGCTGTCTTGGGTGCATCTTGGGACCACGTTGGGATCTCTTGGGGCCATCCTGGCCGTCTTGGAGGCATCTTGGAGGTCATCTGGGCCATCTTGGCCGCCGGGGAGGCATCTTGCAGTCCATTGTTGGCCATCTTGGACGAGAAAGGCATTGACATGTACATGTTCCAGGTGGCAGGCGCGCTGTGCCGAAGCCCCAGGGGGAGTTTTAAAATAACCAAAAATCGTTTGAAATCTGGCACGCCAGGCACCCTTGTGGCAAGCCAGCAGGGGGCGGCGGATAAAATGGCCTTCGGCCCATCCCGCCACCGTGCCTGGATTGCGAGTCAGAGTTCTCAGGGATGCTTCTTGGGGCTTCTTCGGAGCGCTCTCGGGGGCCTCTTGGAGGCAGTTCTATAGAGCCTCTTGGGAGCCTCCTGGGGGCCTCTTGAGGCTTCATTGGCGGCTCCTGGGTTCTCTTGGGGGCCTCTTGGGGCCTCCTGAGGCCCCTCGGGGCCGAGAACTCGGAATGCCCGTTCGGGTCCCACATCAGGGCACCTCTTGGAGCCGTTTTTGGGGCCTCTTGGGACATTTTGCGCCCCTCTTCGGATGTCTTGGGGCCCTCTTCGAGGCCTCTTGGGCCGTCTTGGGGCACCATAGTAGTTCACGGTATTGTTCATTACACACGTCCGCTTGATTTCGCTCGGTAGCCATCGCTTCTGTTCAAGCTGGCGCTGTGTTATGGCCCTCTTCGCCCCTGGTCTCCACCAAGTTCGGGACTGGGCTGCAACAGGACTGTACGCTGCTAATCTCTGGAGCAGCTGGCAGCGGGAGTGTCGCTGCACGTGCACCTTCACTGGGGAGCACGACAAAGATCTGGTCCAGCTCCTTCAGAGGCAATTAGACAGGTGCGGGCCTGAACAATTGCGGCACGCCCCGCCACAGCGTTGCCCCTCGTTCTTCTGGGAGGTGACCGTGATCGTCTGCCTGGCGACGCTCGCCGCCTTCGCCTGCGGGTACCTGATGGGCCGGCTCCATGGCCGTGGTGCTGCACGGGCTGGCGGACATGATGAGGGCGGCGCGGCTGGGGGACCGAGTGTATTGCCTCTACAGCTTGGAGGAGAAGCTGTATCACGAGCGCCTTCTCTGCGGGCACGTGGCAGGCTCACTCTGGGCGGTAGCGACGCTTGACTGGGACGTCTTCGTCAAGGACTTCTCCGACTCCGACCGCGCGGAGGTGCACCGATGCGGGCCGCGCGGCGGCCCACCACCGCTGCAGCTGCGCAAGAAGTTGCTCTACCGGTTCGACCTTGACAAGGATGCGCTGGCCGCCCTGGCTTTTGAGGGTGCTCAGCTGGCCGAGCGGGAGCGTGCCGCCCTGCCCACGGGCCGCCGCCTCCGAGGGAAGCAGGCCACCCCAGCCTTGCCGCCCGAGACGCAGCTCGTCCTCGACGGTGGCACGCCGACACCTGTCGGCTCCGACGCCGAGCGGGACGACCGCCTGGCGGGCCCTCCGCGCCCGCCACCGGCGCTCGCGCCCCCGCCACGTTCGGGTCCCGGCGGTGCGCCTCTTCTGCCAGCGCGGCTCGACGACGGCTGGGTCGCCCTGGAGACGCGGCTGGGCTTCAAGCGGGGCGGCCCTGTGGATGTGGCCTACGCCACCGTCCACGCCAACGGCGGCCGCGCCCTAGCATCCTTCCCTGAAGGGGTCATCGCGCTCGCGCGCGTGGGGGCCCTCGACAAGGCGCCTTCCTCACCAAGAGCGGAGCCGGATGCAGTGCTGGACGAGCGCATTCTGCAGTACCGACGGAGCAGCACCGGGCAGCGGCGCCGGGCCTTCGCGGAGGTGGTGGCCGAGCAGCAGGAGGCGCTGGACACCAAGGAGTGGCGCATCGAGGGGCCCGCCACCGTCGGCTGGCTGCGTCAGGCTCACCTGGAGCAGGGTGGCGGGCCCGTCCAGCGCCACTTCTCGTGGAGGCAGATCCTGGGGTTGGCAGCTGCCGACCCCGGAGTCGATGAACATATGTTCCTGTGCCGGCTCCTGGAGACCGCAACCACGGCCGACCAGCTCAACCTGCCGGGGTGCGAGACGTGCGAGCTGGCGGCCAGGCGCTTCCAGCCCTGGGAGGAGGTGTACTCCGAGGCCTTGCGACAGGCCGAGGTTTCGGGCACCGCCGGTGCCGCGGCCGACGCCGACGGCTGGTTGGACGAGCGCCGCATCTTCTTAGGAGGCACGCGCACGAAGGGGCACGCCCTCGTGGCCCCGATTTTGGAGAGGCACGTGGCGGCGAAGATGCAGGAGGAGAGCGCCATCCTCAAGGAGCGGCGCAAAGGGGGGGAGGAACGCCGCATGGCGCGTGGCGAGAGCAGCAGCGTAGCCGACGCCGGCCTCGGCGACCCAGGCGGAGGCGGCGGCGGCGCTGGCGGCGGTGCTGGCCCCACAGGCCGAGGGCGCGAGCGCGGCGCCCGCGGCCGCGGGCGGGGCTAGCCCGCCACCGCTCTTCGGCTTGTGCGCGGCCGCTGCAGACCCCCTCTGGCAGCGGGCGCTACTTCAGGGGGGGCCGCCACTGCGGTGGTGATGGCGGCCTCGGCGCAAGGGGTCACGGGCTCGGCCCTGGCGCGCGACGTTTTGCCCCTCCCTGCGGGCGAGTCGCTCGACGAGCTGCTGCGCGGCGCGGCAGCCCGCCTGCTGCCGCGCGGCGGCGGACGGCGTGGACGACTTTGTCGACAGCAGGAGGCTCGGCTGCGCGAGGGCGTTGTCGCCCTCGACGGCCTGGGCGGTCGCGGCGCTGACGCACCGGCTGGGTCTCCAGCCGCCTGTCAGGCCGCGGCGGTGCGACATCTCGCGCGGCTGTGTGGCAGAGTGGGGCAGCCTCCATCCGACCTGACCCCCCTGGGGTCGTGGCAGACGCTCCAGGCTTCGCGGAACGGCTATGCAGATGTCATGGCCGACGGCGCAACGACGACCTACAGGAAGGGGGCGATGGCGCTCCCGCGGGCTGCGGCCGGGCGCGCGCGGCTCACGTGCTTCCCCCGCACCTGCAGACTGTCCTGTCATATTCTTCGCAGATGTTACGAGAGCCGGAGGCTCGCAGTTTTGCTTTGGGCGCGGCCCCCCGGGTCTGTGCCATGGGCCCTGTGATGCAGAGGCACGGCTACCACTACGGCGAGTGCCTTTCCGAGCTGCTCGCCACGGGCATCGTCGAGCGCGCTGGCATCTTCTTCGCGCCGAAGAAGGATTTTTCTTTGCGGCTGATTTTTGACACCTCCTGAGGTCGAACGCGCACTTCCAGGAACCGCCGCACGCGCTCCTGTCGAGCGGGGAGGCGCTGCCCAACGTGGAGGTGGACGCCTCCAAGGGGGTCGCGGTGGCCTCCGCTGACGTTGACTGCTGCTTGTACCAGTGCGAGCTGCCACCTTGGGGTCGTCTCTTTTTTGGGCTACCTGCTTTTCAGGCGCGTTTCTCCAGCCCGAGGCTCGCCAGCTTCTGGGCATCGCGGACCTGTCCGAGATGGTCCACTTCGTTGCCAGGGTGGCCCCCGTGGTCTGGTCGCGGGCAGCGCGCCTCATCCAAGAGGCCCGCGCCCACATCCTGAGCGGCGTCAGCCCAGAGTCGTCGTGGATCGCTGACAAGGCGCCCACCCCGGCACTCGGCGCGCAGTGCTCCGGGGCCAAGATGCCGCACATCGACAACGTTGCCTTTTTTACGTCGGGCAGTGGCGACCTGTTCTGGAGGTGGAGCACATGCTGGCCGCCTTGGGCGAGCGGGGGATCCAGGCCTCCTTTGACAGCGACGAGGGGGGCCTTCACACCCTGCTGGGGCATGCGCTGCACAAGCCCTCCGCCACCTGGGGGCTGTCTCGGAGCAAGTTCTGGCGACTGAAGTTCAGTCTCGATTTTGTGCTCGCGCCCGGGCGCCTCGTCACGGGGCGAGAGCTCGAGAGGCTCATGGGTCACATCACTTCTGCCGTGATGCTGCAGCGGCCAATGCTCTCCCTGTTCCACGCCATCTACGAGTTCTGCCGGCGGTCGCGTGACAGGCGGCAGCCCTTGTGGGCCTCAGTGAAGCGGGAGCTCGCTTGGTTCAGGGCTCTTCTCCCATGTGTGACCGCCCTGCTGAGTCGCTCCTGGCGCGACCGGGTCACGGCCGCCGACGCCTCGCCGCGGGGGTTCGGCGTCGTGGAGCAATCGTGGCCCGTCGGTGACGTGCGACGAGTTAGCGGCCTCTCGGAACGCAGCCGCTTCCGGGGGGTCCTGACGGCGGACTACGCCCGCCGGGACACGCTGGGCGAGCAGCAGCTCCTGCGCGCCTCCTCGGCGGACGTGGTGGCGGAGGGCGCCCTCGCGCACTTCGAGGAGGTCCCAGCGGGGCGGCTCCTGGCTGAGCCCTGGACGGCGGAGGCTGCGCGACGCTGGCGCCGCGCCGCAGCCATCCATGTCCTCGAGGCTGAGGGGTGCGCTGGGCCGTGCGCCGCTTAGTTCGGAATATTCAGCTGCATGGACTACGGCAACTCGTCCTGGGGACAACCTCGGGGTGGCATGTGCGTGTGAAAAATGGAGAGCCGCTCACTGTGCCCTCAACGGGGTCTGTCGAGAGGTGCGCGCGATCTCGATTGCGACGGAGATACAGTTCAGGTTTTGGTGGATCCCCTCTGAGCTCAATCCGGGGGGCGCCCCCTCGCGGAGGTTCATGCCAGGGTATCGGGTGCAGCGCGACATCCACAAAGGATGCACACCCTCCGTAGACATCGGCTCGAACGACGACGTCAATGCCGGATCGGGCCTTCCGGATCAACCCCGCCTTCGACAAGCGCGCCCGCGCCCCAGCCGAATCGGATCACCCGGCGCGCCTCAGGATCGGGAGGCGGGCGCTGGCCGCCCGGCCCTTCGGGCTCCCGCCAGGGCTGGACATCCCAGGCGCCGGTGAGCGCCGGGCCCGTCTGGCACAGCGTGCGGCGGGCGCAGCTGTGTCCGCGGCTCTCGCGGCTGGCCGCCAGCCGAGTACGCCCCGCCGCGGAGCAAACCTACCTGCGGGCGCTGACCATGCTCTTGGGCTGGCTCAGGCTGAAGGCGCTTCCGGAGTGGACGCCCCTGCAGTGGGATGGCGCCCTGGTCGACTACGCCGAGTGGGCCTTCGACCGCGGCATGGGCAGGGAGGCGTTCTCGCGCACCCTCTGTGCTGTGGCGTGGGGGGAGCCCGCTCTGGGGGCCCCCGCGCGGCGCCTCTTCCCCTCGGCTCGCTCGTCGCGCGCTAGCCGGCTGGACCCGGCTCCAGCCAGGGCATTCGCGCCCGCCGCTTCCTCGAGTGCTGGCGCTGGCGTTCGCGGCTGTGCTGGCCCCGCTGGGGAAGCCAGACTCCGGGCTGTGCTTCCTGGTGATGTTCGAGTGCTACCTGCGCCCGTCGGAGGCCACGACCTTGCTGGCCAAGCAGTTGGTGGCTGGGTCTGGCAGAGGGGTGGGTGTCCTGCGTTGCCCGCTGCTGATTCTTCATCCAGAAGAGCTGGGAATCAGCTCCAAGACGGGCGAGTTCGATTCCACAGTGGCTTTCGATTTACCCCGACATCACTGGATTGAACGTGCCGCTCTACGCCTTCAGTCCCTCCTGCGCGAGGACAAACCATTGTTTCGCTTCACCTACTCACAACTCCTTGCCGACTTCCACTTTGCCTCTCAGCACCTCAAGCTCGGTGATGGGCTTCGCGCCTCACTGTCTGAGGCACGGGGGCGCGACGCACGATCGCGCAGAAGGCTGCCGATCTCTACTGGAAGTCCAGAGGCGCGGGGTGCGGCAAGCCTCCGCGTCGGTCAGGAGATGCGACAAGGCCGGGCGGCTGGCGCTGGTGCTGCGGAGCCTCAGCAACGCCCAGAAGGACGATTGCGAGCGGTGGGCGGCGGCCGCCCCGAGGCTCTTCGGCAACGCCTTCGCGCGGCCCTCCGTGCAGGTAGGCTCGGAGAACGACGAGCGTTTCTCGATCTCTTTTCAGGGGCCGGCGGGCTCGCCGCGGAGCTAAAGAAAAGAGGGCACGCTGCAGTATCAATTGATCTGCTGCTTGGCCCTGAGTGCGACCTGCTACAGGATGATGTTTTCCGCGCCTTGCGTGGCTGGCTAGAGTCAGGCATCGTTTGGGGCGTTTTTTTCTGGCGGCCCCTGCGAGAAATGGTCTCAGGCCCGCCGTGCGCCCCCGCATAGTGTCATGCCCCGCCGTCTTCGAACCAAAGACCACCTGCGGGGCCTCCCTGGCCTGGGGGGCGCCGACTATCAAGCGGTCCTAGACTCCAACGAGCTCGCTGACAGAATCGCGGTCTTGTTAGGGATCGCCCTCTCGCGGCAGCTGCCAGCGGGGGAAGAGAATCCTGCTTCCAGCCTCCTCTGGCTCTTGCCCAGCCGGAGGCGCTTCTGTGCTCACACAAGTGTTAATGACATCGTCTTTGACTATTGCGGTGCGGGGCGCCCGTTTTGAGCCCGCACACGCATGTTGTTAGCCAACATCGCGGTGCTTCCCGAATTGTTTTCCTGGCAGTGCGAGGGCCGAGGAATCTGCGCGTTTTCTGGAAAGCCTCACATCGTTCTGACAAGTACTTCTACATCTGGTTTCCTGACCCGTCTCAAAGCCGCCTACCCGCCGCGCCTCTGTTCGGCGCTCGCTCGTGAGTTCTCGCACAGTTACTTGTCTTTTCGGGCCAAACGTCTTTGGAATTTGATGCGGTAGACCAGCACATTGCGTGGAGACGGGTTTTCCTCATGAAGGTGGGTTGCGTGGGACAATGGCCCACTCGACGCGTCGCCGTCGCCTCAGCACTCTTCTGGAAGAAAGAATGAACATAGTAGTTCACGGTATTGTTCATTACACACGTCCGCTTGATTTCGATCGGTAGCCATCGCTTCTGCCCCCGCCAGACCAAAGCGTTTGCAATTGCTACGTTTCTCTGCATGGTTGTGTGGGACACTGGCCCACTGGACGCGTCGCCGTCGCCTCAACACTCTGCTGGAAGAAAGAATGAACAAAAAAACGTCAATAGCCCAAATCAAGGATTTGTGCCTCTTAGGGCCTCTTGGGACGCCTCTTGGAACACTCTTAGGGCTTCTTGGGGGCCTCTTGGGCCGTGCTGAGGCCATCTTGGGCGTATTGGGGCGATCTTTGGCGACTCGGGGCACTCTTGGGCCGTCTTGAAGGCTTCTTGGGGCCCTCTGGGCCCGTCTCGGGGCCCTCTTCAGGTCGACTAAGTCACGCGACAACGATTCCTGGAACCCAGGAGGCACGCTCCGAGCACCGAGAGGTTTGAGAACTTGGGGTCCGGGCACACAAAAAGCTTTTCAGGACCGAGGACTGAGGATCAGGGGATTGGGCAAAGGACCTGGGGACACGGTCATTCCGTGACCAGGGCGCAATCGAATAGAACCTACGTGAATCGAACATAGCTAAAAACTGTCAGATTCAGCAGCGACTGATTCATGGCGCCCTATCAATCGCAACGTGCGAGCCGGCGTAAGGCCACCCACCGGAACAAACCACCACTGAATAGAGCAGGACCGAGCAGAACGTGATAGGCGGCCACAAATGCCGAAGGTTTCGGTGGGGATCGTTCGAAGCAAAATATTGCCAACCCTGGCGTTCTGCTTCGAGCTCGGCCCTCTGGGGCCCGTCGCCAGGGGGCCATCGAGCACGGATCCAGGACAGAAACCTGCCCCTGGGGAAGGGGTCGGGACTTCCGGGGCCGCGGACTGAAACAATCACATCGCCAGATGTCTGGGTCGGACGGGGCTAGGGCGAGGATACATCTTTTCCAGAGCATTATGGAACGCTCTCAGAGCGTTCTGCAACGATCCTCCAGAGCCGCCGGATCTGAGGGATTCCCGATTTATCCTCACCCGAATTTGTCATCGTCATGGCTTCGTCGTATTGTCCTTCCGTGTGGAGTTTCGACGATTTTCGCTGTTTCACGGGCGCCTTCTCCCTGGGGTGCGCTCCAGCAGTTGCGCTTTGCCGAGGGCATTCCCGGCGGCCCGAGTCGACCTGGGCAGCGACGGCCACTGGAGCGACGCAACAAGACGACGTTGGCGCGTAAATTGCCCTCGTGAGGTCGTGCGTGAGCGCCTTTGTCATCAGTGTGGCGTGCCGCGCTGGTGGCCCGCGTAAGCCGCGGCGCAAGGTCGCTACAGCCAAGACTCTGAAAGAAGGACCGCCTCGGGTTCGAGAGGGGCTCGCTGTTCCTTAGGTCATCCCGTGGCTGTCCCTCTAGCCATCCTCGTGCATCCAGGCTCTTTCGGTGCTAAACAGGGGCCTCGTTCCTTGCTTGGCGTTCCTTATGTCAGCAACCCGACTGCATGTTATCTCGCGTAAGGCTCGTTTCTGATCGCCGCTCAGCTGCAGTTGCCCAGACATCGGCGGCGAGCCGGGTAGGGAAGTGCGAAGGGGCGGGCCTCTTCAGAAGGCTCGGAGGTAAGACGGCCTTCTGTGAAGGGGAACTGGGACACACAAATAAATATACACAAATAACCAGATTCCCAATATTTTTCTATATTTTCTGGGTTTTTGTCTTCTCCCCCACTTCCCATATTTTCGCATATTTTCTGGGGGATCTACGATTAATTGTGTCTGTGTGTTTTTTCCCCTCCTGATTCTGAGAAGTCTTCTAAGCCTTCCCCCGGGACTCAGAACTCCCCTCGGAAGGCCGGAGGCCTTCCGAGAAGCCCCGCCGCCTTCTGAGAAGGTTTTCTCCTTCTCGCTTCCCCCCCTCGTCCGCCGCCGACAGAGGTGGCCGTTCAGGGCCCACACGGCCCTCGGGCTCAGCTGCCCTGATACGCCCGTTTTGGAACGCCAACACGCGCCCAAGATGTTTGTGTTCGCACGCTGCGTGTCGGTTCAACGTATCAGCCCACGTTTTGGCGAACGCATCGCGTCAGACCTGCGTCTTCAGTCTGGTTGTTGAGCTCCGTATCAATACGCTACGAGTTGCGTGTTGCGTATCGTGGCACACCGGGCCAGCATCCGCCCCCGCGCAGGAGCCAGCCTGTGCGCCCCCGAGGGGCACCGGCCATCGGCCACGGCTCGTGGGCATGGAGGGGTGACGGTCTCGGGGATATTTGTGCTTCGGGGGCCCGGCGGACGTTCTCGTCGGCTCTGGGGACCTTGAGATCTTGGCGTCGTTGCAATTTTTTCGCAACGGGCGTTTCCGCCCGGTTTCGAGCCCACAACCCTTACAGATCGGTCCGGCTCGAAAAAATGATGGGGTCTAGGGTTCCAGTCGTCATTTTTCTACGGTGTTTCAATTTTTTCGCAACGTCGGATCTCAGGGTCGGGGCTCGTGGCCCACGCCTCGCTTGGAGCTTCCTGGGGGTGCCTGGATCGCCCCGAGCGCCGCCAGAGGCCCGAGTTAGGACCCTTCTCCGCAGTGGCCCTTGGCGCGGGCCCACAGGGGGGTCCCCCCCAGCACTGGTTCGCGAGCTTTGATTATTCCCGTATTCTCCTGGCCCCCCACCCCACCCCGCGCCGCTCCGTGAAGCAGCGCACCAGAGGTCACGCTTGCCCGCGGTCGCTTTTCTTTTCTTGGACACCCGAAGGAGCTGGCTGCACGTGGTTAAGGGTGGCCCTTCGCCAGAGCGGCCTCTGGTGCGCCCCCCCGTTTCCCCCAGACCTTCCTCGCTTCGGTTTTCACAGGTATTCGTAAGTTTTCGGAAGTCTTCTCGCCCGAGGATGCGTTCGAGCAGCTGCGCCTCGCTGAGAACGTGCGCAGATCGTTCCGAGTGGCGCCCAGAGGCTCGTGTTATGACTGTGACCCTTCGCTGGAGTCACCATTCTGTGCAGGCCCACAGGGATCCCCCCAGCACTGTTTCGCGTGCTTCGATTTGCCCCCCTCGCCCCCCCCCCCCACCCCCGCCGCCCCCTAAGCCCGTCCACCAAAGGCAAGTCTTGCCTGCGGTCACTCCTGCGTGCAGCCGGAGGAGTCGGCTGCACGTAGGATCGGGCCACGCCGGAGCAAGTCGAATCGGTGCCAACGGACTCCATCTGCTTGGCCTCCGAGTGGACTTGGCTTTCCTCCGGGCGCAGATAGAGCAAGTCCGGTTGGAGCCGAGGGACTCCATCTGGTGGGCCTCCATTTGGACCTAGCCTCTCCCGACGAGGGTGACCTTGCGCCGGAGTGACCTCTGGTGCGCCCTCTCCCAGACCCCGTCCAGCCGTGTCGGGTACGGAAGGGGCTCGCTGTTTCTTGAGTCCTTGCGGCGCCTCGAGGGGCCTTCCCGCTTGGAGGGTGTCTCTAATAGGGCCCCAGGGGTGCCCTGCCCGCAGCTGGGGTCCTGACACCGTCACTGTAGGGACTGCAAGGCTTGTGCCTGCGCAAGGGCTAAAGCAGTGTGAGCGCAGGTGAGTCAGCTTGCTCTCAGTAACTGTTTTAAGCCTCGAGCGGTGTACCTTGCCTTGCCTTTCATGCTTGTCACTCCCGAGTTCCTCGTGCACCCAGACGCTTTGGAGGGGCCTCGTTCCTCATTCAGCGCTCCTCATGGTAGCACGATGACCGCAACGCCGCGCAGCAGAGGTCACTCTTGCCCAGGGCCTCTTTCGCGCAGCCGACAGGAGGCGAGTGGCGGCAAGCGAGGGCTCGAACTCCGAGTCCAGCTCCGAGTCCGAGGGCCCGAGAGGTGGTGGTCAGGAGGGAGAAAGGCGTTCGGAGATTCAGCGGCGAGCCCAGGGGGGAAGCGTGAGGGGGCGGGCCTTCTCAGAATGCTCATTCGGGCCTTCCGAGAAGTTTTCTGATCCTCCTCCTCCGACGACAGAGACGACATGTCTGAGAAGGACTGAGGGCTTCTGAGAAGCCCCGCCGACTTCTGAGAAGGCCTGCCTCCTCTCACTCCCCCCTCGGGCGCGCCGCCGAGATATGCACATTTCGCCATCGGCGGACGGCTGGCGGAGGGCGGCGGAAGTAAAAATCGGCGGTGGGCCCGCCAGCGGAAGCCTGCAGAAGGCGGCCGAAGGAAAAGTGAGCCGTAAACTTGTTTGGATCCAGGGTTTTCGGAGTCCGCCTGAGTGCCGATGCCCTGGCCCCCGTCTTCGCCTTCCTGGGCCTTCGATTGCGCGTTGCAGTGGGGGGGGGAGGTTCCTCTTCGTCACGGCTGGATTCGCGATCGGGATCCTTGTCAGAACGCGCCCCAGGAGAGGTTCGGGGGGTAGCGTAGCGGCGTCAACACATTCATGCTCTGGGCGTCGCTTGCATGCGTGGAAGTCGTGTCTTCTGTGCGTTTCTTCATGGACAGTCAACCTGGATAGTAAGGATGATCGACGTCTCAAGGGTACCCTTGCGCCCTTACATCTTCGGTCATCTTTGCTTTCTTCTCAACGACTTTCGATGGCCAGTCCCGCTCGAAGAGCCTTGGCATTGGCGTCCAAAGCCCTTGCATCCTTACCGTGCATCTTTTCTATATGGGTTGACTGTATCCTCTCACCCGGCCTGGACCCATGCAAGCCGCGATTGCGGAGCCCTGAGGGACTAGTCGGCTTCAGTAGCCCTCGCGGGCAGCAAAGCCAACAAGCATATGGAAACCGCGTCTGAGCGAAGGCCAGTGCTCCCCCCTGGACCCCCTCGCGTGGTAAAAGAATCACTCACGGCGGACAGTTTTGTGCTGTTTTCGGCCTCTGGGGGCCCTCGCTTGGCCCCTGGATTGCGAAACACGACTCAGGCTGAGAGGTGGTCCCGGGGAATGGGTCGAGACCTCTGGGGGCCCACGCAATGAAAAACTCATGACGTCGGGGTTCTGGGCCCAGAGGTGGCGGCAAGGGCAAGTCACAGAAGGCCTCCGTCGACTCCGGCCCCGTCCTGAGCCACCTGCTGCCGGGAAAGAAGGGCCGCGGCAAAGGCAGCAGAAGGGCCAGGTCCAGCTCTGCGGGTTCGCGCGACCGCTGACCGTAGCCGGAGGGTAGGCGCGGCCGCCAGTGCCGGAGACGTTCGCGGCCTCGCGAGCTCGGGGAGGAGACTTGAGCGCCACTTCATGTATATATTTCCCGGGGCCGCGATCGAGATCCCACGCGAGTAGCCAAGGGCGGGGGAGCGAGGGAGGATGAGAGAGGATGGACGTGCGAACTACGAATGGCTCCGAGAGGGGCAAATTAGAGGCAAGCGCACGGGCTGGCTTATGGAAGGCCGGCTTCGCGCGCCGTTCCCAGCTTGCCTGGCGACATTCCGCGATCTCCGCCGCGGCGTCAGCCGCACAGTGGCGAGGTAATGTTGGACGCGCTCTACTACTATCCTTCGAGAAAAGAGCCGGGGCTTTTGCCCTCAGCCTGTCGGGCCGTTTTTGGAATCCTTTCGTTCTCCCTGGAGACTGGAGGCCATCTGGGTCCCCCCCATGGGATCTTGGGGGCACCTGGGCGACGATAAAAACGGGGTCATCTGCGCCGACATTGGCGCGCAAGCTGCCCGCGTAGGCGCCCTCATCTCCAATGTGGTGTGCCGCGCCGGCGGTCCGCGCAAGCCACTGCGTAAGGTCGCTATGTCATCTCGCGTAAGACCCGTTTATTTTCGTCGCGCACCTTGGGCCTGTGACGTCTCTTCGACACCACCTCAAACATACTAATCTATGTGCGCGTCGACCCTGAAGGGGCGACGCGCGCGCGCCGAGAAGTACAAGCTCCGTGGCGGGCGTTTTCTGGCCCTACCGCTCGGGAAACGATACACTACAAAATGGCAAAGCTACATCTTCGGGTCGGACGCACGCCTCCAAGGAGGACACCTAGCACTTCAGGCTGGAAAAGGTTTTCTCTTAACGCCGCCACATGATCCAATGCCGCATAACACGAGGATTTGTGTGAGCGATGGTTCCACTATGTGATACAGTGGCCGAACACACTGCGCTTCGCATGTCCGCACCCACTGCCCATGTTTTACTGTAGCATAACTGTGCAGAATGTGGGCCAGTATGTGTGTTCAGTACATTCCGTCCTGTTTCGCGTGTTTGCAACCACGACGTGTGTGAAATTGCAAGAGCCCCGCGGAAACCAGGGCCCCAAACCAAGTATATGGCGAGGACGTCTCAAGCGAGATCTCGCCCAAACCAGGGGGAACCGACCAAATTGAGAGGAAGTCTCAGGCGAGAAACTGCGCCGAAATCAAGCGAAACCAAGCGAATTGCAGGGACGTCTCAGGCGAAACCAGGCCCAAACCAGGCGAAACCAAAGCAAGGCCAGGCAACTTGCGAGGACGTCTCAGGCGAAACCGCGCCGAAACCATGCGAAACCAAGCAAATTGCGAGGACGTTTCAGGCAAAGCCAAGCTTAAACCAGGCGAAACCAAGGCGAAAACAAGCAAATCGCGAGGACGTCTCAGGCGAAACCACGCAGAAAGCAAGCACATTGCGAGGACGTCTCGAGAGACACCGTGCCCAAACCATGCAAATTGCGGGGACCTCTCGGGCGAAACCAGGCCAAACCAGGGGCCAAACCAAGCACATCCGGAGGATGTCTCAGGCGGCTTGCGCCGCCCAACCAAGCCAAACCAGGGCACAAGCCATGCGGATTTTGAAGACGTCCCAAGCAGAATCGCCCAAACCAAGCTCCACCCAGTCTCCTCAATATAATTATAGTTCACGGAGTGAATCACCCCAGGCCCCCCCCCGGCGCGAGCCCGCTTAACATTTTCTGGGGGGGGGGCGTTTGGACCACATGTCCGCTGAAGCGGATGGGGTTGGACGCGGAAGGTTTCGTGTGTCTGTGGGTTGTTCTTGGGGCCTTGCTGTGGTGTAAGGAGAAATGCTTCCGAGCCTGTACTATGTCCTTGTGCGTCCCATGTCTGGCAACAACAGAAAAAAAACTCTAACCCCATGCCAGCGCAAATTCAGAGGCGCGAGGGGGGCGGGCCGTCGCCGTCAGCGGCCCCCCTGTCTTTCAATCTCTTTCGCGTCGCCCAGTCGTCGATCAGCCAGTATTGTCCAGTATTGTCTCCTTCCTCATCCTCCCTCGTCCCTCTTCCCCCCCGCCTCCCTCCCTCCACCCCTTGGCCCTCGTCCAGGTGTAGCAGGGTCCCCTTGGTCCCTGTGTGCCTGTGAGGGGCCACACGGAGGTGGGTCTCTGTTGTCTGGTCTCGGCTAGCGCCCAGGCACACCCACCTCCCCGTCGCGGACGGCCCGTACAGGCCTTTCAGCTGCAGCGTCCGCCCTGCAGCACGGCAATGCCATTCTGGCCCTCCTTCCTCCCCCCGCCTCTTATGAGATCCCCCGCCCTTCCTCCAGTCCAGCTTTCCTCCCCTGGAGGTCTGGACAGCCGCACGGCGGCCTGGCCAATTTGGCCCTCCTTCCAGCTCTTCCCTCTCCTTCAGCCGACCGAAACTTGGACGGCACACCTAGGCAGGTCTCTCCTTTTCCAGCCTTGCACTGCTCTCTGCCTCGAGGGCTGCCCTGCTATGGGCAACGAAGCAGGGCCCCGCTGATGTCTCTCTTCGCACGGCGCTTCAAACTCCTCCTCTCTCTTCTAAGATTCCTCTCTTCCCCTCCTGCAGCGCCAATACCTCTCTCCCGACAGTTTTCGGGACGAGAGCGGAAGCAGCTCAGCGTCCATGCTCTCGGGCTTCTCGTGTGCAGCCTGTGCCAGTCCTGTTGGCCGCTGCGCTCAAGCTACTTGCAACGAGCTTAGTACAGTCAAAAGCCCTCCACCCCGTCCCTCATCCCCCTCCCTCCTCCGCCCTCCTTCTCATCCTCCTCTGGAGCCACTTTGGCTCGAGAGATTCTTGGTCCAGGGCCAGCCACGGACGTCTTCTCCCGCCTGCCTTGTGCCCGCGAGGCTGAGCACCTTCGCCGTTGCTGCAGCATTCGCCTGCTCGCAGTTTACACTCCACTCGCGATCATCTGAGGTTTGCGCGGGCCTCCTTTCGCGCATCACAGTTTTGTTTTCGGCATGGCCTCTGAAGATGGCAGCAAGGATGGTCAGCGTGACGACCCCTGGTTCAACGCCGTGTCTAAGCTGCCCGCCCAAGGGCCCCCTGCCCATGTGCGCATGCAGCTGGAGGGGACTCTCGCCGCCCAGGTCGAGGACGCTGCCGCGCAGATCGAGGCCGCTGCCAAGTCCGTCACCGAGAACGCCAGGCAGCAGTTCTTCGCGTCGGCCACCCAGATCACGGCCGACTTCAACCAGAAGCACGAGCGCACCGAGCGCCATCCCCACGACGTCAAAGCGAGGGTTGCCAAGACCGAGCAGTCCACGCGTGAGCTCCGCGAGGCGGCCAACAAGCCCCAGTGCGTTGCGGACGACGCGGAGGCGCGTCAGCCGAGCTTCAACGTGGACGCCTTCGGCTACGTCGGCTCCTTCGACCACGCCGCCGATCCGCGCGCTTTCTGGCGCGGTTGCGCTTCAGCCTTATCCGCGGCCGATTCAATGGCATCTTTGGAACCGTGGCCCTCAGCCGTCGAGGCCACGCTGGACCGCGTCGCCTTCCACGCCGCTGGCCCCGCGAAGCGGCGCTCCTCCACGGCCGCGGGCGGCGCGGCAGCGGCTGAGCCGCGAGCTCGTCGCCTTCGTGAATCTCTGCGTGAGTGTCGCAACTGGCGTCAGTCTCACATTTTGGCCAGCGGCGCACATCTCGCCGCTCTCTACGTCTCAGCTGACAAGAGCCCTCGCACCGTCAGGCGCGAGGTTCGGGCCAAACGCCTTGCCGAGCTCCTCCACCGCGCCCAGGGCGACCTCGCGTCGCAGAGCGGAGCATTGGTTCGGTTGCATGTCGGTGCTACTGCTGATGAGCCACCCCCGCACCAATGGGTTGCCGCTGCCGTCGGGGCGGGCGTCGACGATGAGCGCCAGCGCCGCGTCCGCGCGGAGTTCGAGTCCAGCTTCGCAGGCGCCCTGGCTTCAGCGCAATGGCTTTAGCTCGGGGTGGGCTCCATGGTCGGTCAAGCCCAATGACCGCGGCCTCAACGTCGTCTCCTGGAACGCGCAAGCGCTGCGCGGCTCCGCTGATCAGCGCCGTCAGCGCCGCCAGGGGAAGCGTCGTCGGCAACTCCCTCTCCTTCGCCGACGCGCGCTGGCAGCAATTCAGGAAACCCACGGCGCCGACGCGGGCGTTCAGATCTTGGCGACCTCCACCCAGCGTCACTACGTGGCCTTCCACACTCGGGGACCACGAACTCCATTATCGCTGGCGGGGTTTGACTTTCTTGCCCCGTGCGACGAGGTCGATCTGGGCCGCCCACCCGACGACCTCTAAGAGGTCGTTTCTGGGCGAGCAGCATGGCTCCGCATAGCAGGCGTCTCCAGGGAGCGCGGCATCACGGTGCTCAACGTCCGCAATCGCGATTCGTCGCCGAGCGACCGCGCAGCCATTCGAGAGAGTAGGCAAAGACTGCGCGAACATGTGTTGTCGACCTGACGATGCGCCTATTCGCTATGCTCGGCGACTTCATCTCCGAGCTGCCGCCGAAGCTCCAACTCGCCCGTCAACTCCTCCACGGTCGCGGCGGCCAGGAACCAGCGCCAGCCTGCCTTTAGGAAGACCTTGCTCGCGGAGACCGCAATCGACCGCTGCTTCTTTGCGCTGCCTGCCCACTGCGCCCCCTCGATGGAGACGGCGCCCCTTGCGGGCGAAGCGCCGCTAGAGGGCCCAGTCGGGGTGATCGGCGACCGCGAGAGAATTCAGCTCCGCGTCCAGCCTGCCCGCCAACGCCCACTACAAGAACGCGCCGTTCCTGCTAGAGTCTTCGACTCCAAGCACTACCAACGCCACTTCCAGAAGATCTCCGGTTGCCGCCCGCTCGACCACCCCTCGCCCGTTGACCGCTGGCGCAACATCAGGTCCATGATTCATGACACTGCGCGCCGCGCTCGAGACACCGCGGCGGCCATCCCCTCCGAGGAGTTAGACAGCGCGAGCGGCGACATATCGAAGGAGGTTCGTGGCGTGACCCTCCGCAGCATTGCTCGCGCGATATGGCGCCCGCCAAGAACCGCATTGAAATTGCTGAAGCTGGCTGACGATACCTCAGCCTCGCCGGTGGCTCTGACGCGCTCCAGGACCCCATGCAGTTCGCGACTGACACGGACCACGTCTACGCAGGCCTCAGTGAAGAG